CCCCCGCGCCCCGGTATATTGGGCGAAGTAGGAGAAGAAAACGTCCAGTATTCTTTTTTCTTGTTCGGTTGTATCATAAAATTTATCGGACTGGACGATCGAAGCAAAGGAACGAATGGATTGAATAATTTCTTTGCTCTCATTCAATTGTGTAATGGAATGCATTGGACGAGAGAATAAAAAGATGAAGTCGAATATAGTCACTTACACTTAAAATTACGCCAGCAAGGGTTAAAATAAATGAAAACATTGATCAGAAATATGGTCAGAAGTGACGAGAGAGAATGAATAAAAAGCATGCAAGGAGAAAATACAAAAAGCATAGCGGATACTATATGCTAACAGCAAAAGGATAACTTATTAATGAATCGAAAGTATTACTTTGAATATAGTCAACTATAACAAACAAAATTGAGAAGTTGTCCAGATCATGTTGTCTTATTCAATGCAAGCTTCTTTCTCATGTGTATTTTTCTTCCAGAAGATACGACAGCAGTCCATATTACTTTAGTTAATCAGAAATTGTCTGTGAACCAGTGTTCCAGTGAACACCAATATCGGTGCGAGCAGTGTCTCGGACTTCAGTGACCCTCAGTGCTTCAGTGAACACTGATTGAACTATTCAGCGTTCCCAGCGTAGTCGGTGCAAGTCGGTGATCAGTACACCGACACTGCACGTCTCTACGTCATTGCAGTATGCTCATCAGCTGTATGACTTACAAGTGGACGTCCGGTGGTTCATATAACCCCTATCTACTCAAGTCCTTTACGAGGGACGTACTTCTTGGCACATATACATCTAAAAAATGTATTTTATGCCGATGTATTTATCATTATTGGTCCCAACTAGGAGTGGACCATTTTTTTTAACGGAACTTAATTAATGACATTAATTAATGACTTCCATTAGCCATTAATATTAATGGTTAATGTTTTCTAAGACAAACTTAATTCATTAATATTAATGATTAATGAAAAACATTAACATTAATTTTAAAATTAATGTTTTCATTAATCATTAATATTAATGTCAATGTTCTTGAATGATATTAACGGTTAAAGGAAACATTCACCATTAGTATGAATAG